AAGACACCGATGCTTACTGCAGTGTATGTACGAGGGGGTTGAATGGGTGGAGGCAGGAAGCTGAGTAATTTAGAAGTTTCTTCATTTTGTTTTTCTTTAATATGTTGAGGAGCGCTTTTTTATTATGTGCCTTTACTGACTCCTCTGATTATTTGTCTTTCTTTGCTTTGTTATCTTAATCTTTTTCTTCGTTTTTCCTTCCTTTCTGTTTTTCTTTTTCCCTTTTTTGTCTCTGTTTGCTGCTACCATCTTTCGTTGCTTATTTCCTTGTGTCTTCATTGCTTTTCTCTCCCTTCTCTGTCTGTCTTCGTTCTGCTTGATTTTACTTTTAATTCTCTCTGGTTTGCTGCTCTCCTTCGCTGAGTCCCTGTTGCTTCGATGGTGCATAGACACCTAAAATAAGCGAAGTGATACTATTAGGAGTTTTAAGGGTTTTTCATTGAACCCGCAAGTTCGCCGCTGAACCCAGGCATGAACTGCACGAAGGACCCAATCTTATCTTTTTTTTGATAACTCTTCATTCATTCTTGCTTCTTTTTATCTCATTTTGCTAGTTATTTTATTTTATTTTATTTTGGTATCTATTTTGTTTCATTTTACTTATTTTGTTTTCTAAGGTTTATACAAGTTACACTGGATGATGTAGGTAGGACGTAGTTGCTGCGAGCGAATTTTTGTGCAAATATTCAGCGGAAATCACCCAGGGTCTTAGAAAATAATATTTCAGTAAACTCTAGTTAAAGCAGTTTTTGCTGCAGAGACAGAAGAGCCCCAATAAAAGTACAGCAGCAGTACAAAGGCGAACATCAGAAAGAAGAGCAGCAAAGCAGTGAAGCACTGCAAGAAGAAGAAGCTAATTAGAATAAAAGAAAGCTTCTGTATATTAAAAAATATATTGTCACCATACAAGAGAAGGTGTGCATACACTTGAAAAAATATACCCAGATCTTCAGGTGTATTGCTTAGAGGAAGGGGCCTTTTGCATTGTCTGCCTATCCGGGCAAGGTTTATCTATTCATCTAACTAAACAAAAAAATATACGTTTTCCCTTCTCTGCTTTAAATACACATTTCCAATATACCGTAAGAATAACGCACAACACTCTTTCAATGTGAGATAAGAGAAGCGAATGCTGTCTCCTTAGTTGGTATTAGATGCATTTATTTATTTATTTATTTATTTTTATCTTCATTTATGTCCATTTGCTTTCAGTTTGGCTAGTGAGGAAGGGCCTTGAAGGAAGTGGATAACACAGTGTTGACAGCGCATGCATTAAAAGATATACTCGTCGTTATATATATATATATATATTATATATATACATTATATATATAGTGCTTTCATGCGGGCTTTGCTTTCCGCCGTAGCAAGAGTTATAGCGAGAAGGCGGGCTGCTGCCGCTCCTGCTGCAGCAGCAGCAGCAGCAGCAGCGGATTCTATCTTGTGATAGAATCCGTGTATGGGTGTTTCTGTCTTTTTCTGCTGTCTCCGCTTCGTCATCAGTACGAGGGGTCTGCATGCTGCCTAGAGGCTAAAGGGACAGTTAGAGCGGCAGTTTGTTAGTTCTTTTCGCTCGTTTTTCCGACTCAGTTAAAACTCAAGACGTCCAACAATTGCTAAAAACGAGGCCTCTTCGTTACGCATTCAAAAAAGTATTGATTTGCACGTGCAGAATATACATATATATATATATATATATATTTGTATATGCATTTATTATATGTATAATATTTGTATGATGCACATATATGCATATTATTTGCATAGGATATATATATACATATATATGTATGGGAGATACATGCATATACATGTGTAGATAGATTAATGAATATATTTATCCTTGTATCACAAATATTAACATGAATAACCACACTGTATATAAACGTGTTACATATTATTATATATGTCTGCATATATATCCGTACAAAAATATATTTATGCATGCAAAATGGGTGTAATTAGATGTGTAGTAGTATATGCATGTTATACTTAAACTTGTATATGCAGAGATATACAAGAAAATATATTTATGTACAGCTAAGCAATAAAGACATATATACCATCGTGCTCGGTTGGGTTTCACTCTTCGTCTGTAGGCGTTCTGTTGGTTATGTCAGGAATACAAACAAAGTTTGGTAGTTAAATACTATAAAAACGTTTATTTTGTATATTTTAATATTTGTTTATTACTTCAGAAATGCGTTTTCAATGGCTGCGCTCAACCCACTAGTGCCGCTGGTGCAGGAACGAAGCCGAAGCCGTCTGTGCGGCGGCTTCTGCTTAATATGTTCCCTAAGGTTGAATATATTGAATTAATTAAACCTTTAAATTCATTAAATGTTAATTATTAGAAAATTAATGAGGAAAACGACGGGTTTCTCTCTGGAGTTTTAGAAGAAGAGCAGAAGCCGTCGTGCTGCTGGCAGCGCTTCAGTGGCTGCTGCAGTTGAGGATAGATAATATTTTGGTGTTTGTAGGTCTGTTTAGTAGAAAGGGAAAAAGTTTCTTCTTTTTTAATAGGGGTATTAAAGGGCGAAAGTATTCTGCTTTCCTGTCCTCCGTCAGGTTTCAACTGGGGCGTACAGACACCCCGATTGCTTGCAAATGCACGACGGCCGGACATCTTTGCGCATTTTTATTTTTTAGAGTTTTCTCCCGCGCAAATTTCTCCGTTATTCGATTTTTTTGCCTCAAATTTTGAGTGTTTTCAGGTTATTTCGGTTTTTCTTCTTCGTGAATCTTTATTATGTATCGCGGGAGCTTGATCGGGTCCAGGTTCGACGAGAGGAAGAACCCTTATGCACATGCAGGCGTTTTGAACGAATGAATGCTTTCAGCGCATGCATCTGACATATATTCTTTCCTCTTTCCGGGGAGGGATATAGATATACACACGTTCATAGATAAACTTATCAGATTTTCGAGTTGTCGGTACACCCCACCGTACGATGGAGGTCTCGGATATCAGCGGTGCAGGTATCGCCACGATTGCGTTTATTTGGGAGGAGATATTCAACAACCTCGCGGACTCTGCATGCGGTTTGAAGGGTCTGGGTCTTTGCCCTTTAGGCGATTGTCTTGTTGCTTTCGCTGCTCCCTTCATGCAAGCAGCGACATACGGCGTGCTGCTCTGTCTGCATTGCGTGTTGTTTACAATAGCTGTAGTGCATCCTCGCGGCTCTCTTTGCCTGATTCCGAGGCCCTGCGAGGGGCCCGTGGACGGAAGAGAAGTTGAAATAAGATGCATGCAATGGGCATGCATAGGGCTTTATCTAGCAACGAGCGTACTACTTACGAAGGTCCTTGTTCCTCTCTCTCCTCCTCTTCAATACCACTACGCCGTTTAGCAGTTGCTGAACGACAAAACAACAGCAGGTAAACGTGATCAGGGGTGAGCACAAGAGAAAAGAGAGAAATGCATGTTGTTATCGTTGACGGCAATCAAACGCATGCAACTTCCGCTGCACGTTCAGCCCAACAAGACTTCAAATTCAAACAATTCGATAAAAGAAAGGGGATATCGCAGGTCAGGTGTTTTTTTCTGGTTCGATCCCCGACGAGAAAAGGAAGGCCCTCAGCAGAATACAGAAAAATGCATCTTCATGAATGTATTTAGAAAAGCGTATATTTTTATATGTACAGCTATATAAATATAATATTGTATACATCTAGCGTGCATGTATATGATATACATATTTCTACTTCTTATTCGTATATATATACATATATATCTTCTTTTCTATATGAAGATATTCTTCTTAGACCCTTCATCTCCCGCCGTTTGTTGCATGAGACACTTCAGGTCAATTCGGGTGTAGGTACAGCCGAAATCGCTGCAAATGTGCATTTTGGAATCCGTAGAGATTCATTATTATTATTATTAGTATTGTTATTGTTAGTATCATTGCTAATATGAACAGAAACAAACCAAGCATCGTTATAGTTGAAGCAAAAACCTGAAAAAAACAAAAACTACTGCTGTGGCAGGTCGGGGCTTTTTTGCCCCTGCATGCAACACCGCATGCATGCATGCCTTTATTATTTTTGCGTTTTGTTTGGGGTAGGAGTTACGATAATTAGGATATAAAAGTCTCCGTTGTCTTACATATAATATATCTATACAATGTATATCACCGCTTGCATTCACTCTATCTGCTATGTAAACAGTAATACACAAAAGAATAAATAAATATATATATAACTCATATCAAATGCAGTAAAAGTCAAACATAAACAGAGAAAACCCACAAAATGAATGCGTACATCTCTGTGTCTCTGTTTCTCTCTCTCTCTCTCTCTCTCTCTATATATATATACATATATATATATATACATATATATACACGCATATTGTACATATATAGATATATGTACAAGCAGGTATAACTGGGCATGCTTGTAATGTATATACATTTATATTACATATACATCCGTGCATACACTCATCTATATGTGTAAGTTAGACATGAATATGTATATCTACACACCAATCATCTACAAAGTAGAAAACAGCAGCAGCTAAGCAGGCTCTGCACTGTGCGTCCCTGAGTTTGTGCGAGAAAAGAAATATCTTTATCTTTTTTCTTTTAAATTTACAACTGAATAAACAGCGAAATCCCCCTTAACTGCTGCTGTTCCAGCAGCAACATAAATTCATTCTGTTGCCGCATGCACTAAAGCGGCTCCCTAAAAGAAGATATAGAACAGACCCAAAGGAAAGAAAAGAAGAGGCGAGGCTGCTGCTGCTCAAGAGCAGTTGCTGCTACCGCATGCATGCATGCATGCATGCACGCGTGCATGCAGGCAGCGTTCCCTCTATGGAAAAAAAGCGGATGAGGCGCTGTGGGGTGTACATACACCGAAGCACAGCTGCCTGTTTGGTGCAGCACAGATGTAGGTGGGCGACCCCGAGGAAGAGAAACTGAATAAACATCGAAATAAAAGAAGAAAGAAATGTAAGCACATGAAGAAGAAAAAGAAAAGAAGAGAAAAAACTTCTACTGATAAAGACTCGTCTGCTTCATAATGGCCATAAACTCCTCGAAGCTGACTGAGCAAAAAATAAAACACAAGATAAACACAAAACCCAACATAAACCCTAAACCCTAAACCCTAAACCCTGCTACTTTCGGCAACCCTATCTTCCCTAGCAACTAAAACTATAAACCCTAAAACAAGCAAACAGATTTATTAATTGCACAACATAATTCCTTTCACAAGAAGAACTCTAGATAAACAACAAGTATGTGCAGAAAGAGTGGAAATAAGCCAGCATTACAATATACAAGTGCTGTACAAGAATAAATACGTATACGAAGAAATAAACAATTAAAATAATAATAAATAATAAACAAATAGTAATAAATACTATGAAAAGAATTAAAGTAGTTCTCCTCACTTTCTCCATCCATATCGCGGTCAAATTCATCAATCATCGCTTGCAATTCTTCATCAGAGAGATTCTCTCCCTAAAAAAAAATAAAAATAAAAAATAAAAATAGAAAGAAAGCATTAAATTAAATTAAATTAAATTAAATTAAATTCACTACTCTGCTGAGGTGTACATACACCCGAACTTTTATTATTTTTACCAATTCTCGAGCGACTCGTCTTAAATTTTTCACAGATATTTTCCCTGTATCATCGTCATCAAAAAGATGAAAGGCTTTGCGCATTTCTTCAGAGGGGTCGCGATCTAAGTACTTCTGGCTCACTGACAGACAAGCAAATCAAGCAGTAAATAAATAAATAATTAATGTTAATTAATTAATTGACTAATTAATTAATGCTAAAAAATTAAATAAAACATTAATTATTTACACATTAATAATAAATAAATTAATTAATTAATGTACAGATTATAGTAGTAATAGCAGTGTAAGCATTAATAACAATACAAATATTATTATTATTATTTTAAAGGATTAATAATACCAGCATAAATGCTAATAATAGCAATACAAATACTATTATTAATGCCACTACTATTATTTTAAATGAAACTAAGATCATGCAATTTTTCAGTGTGCAATTTAAACAGCTTCTCTTTTTATTGTACTTGCAGTAATGTATTTGTCTAAATGCATTATGTATCTACATGAAGATAATATATATATATATATATATGTACATATAATATATGTATATATAGCAGATGAAAGGCAAAAAAGCTGTCAGCGCCTAAGCGCTACAAACCCTAAACCCTAAACTCTAAACCCTAAACCCTAAACCCTAACCGCTCACTGATCTCCTCGAAGTCGCTCTGTGTAATGAAGCCTGTGTTCTGTTTATCATAGGCCCGCATAATTTCTTGCACTTGAGCTTTCTTGACTTCGAACCCCAACGCGCGCATCGCAACCTGCAGCAAGCAAGAATAGATATCGAATTGAGGTGTATAGGCAGCTCAAGCCTCCTTATTTAAACCTTTTTCATGCTGTAGCAACAAACAAAATACTCACTAGAAAAAAAAAACAAAAAAATAGATAGAAAGTTGAGGTGCATAAACAGTGAAAACATCTGTATTTAAGCGTTTTTCATGCTGCAGCAATAAACAAGAAAATAATAAAAATGAATAAAAGAATTAAAATACATTTTGCTGCACCTTTAGCTCATGATAATCCATTTTGCCTGTCTTCTCTGAATCAAACAACTGAAAAGCTTCTTTAATTTCAATCTTTTGTTCTTCTCTTAACTCTCGACGTCTCCCCCCACGAGCCCCAGAAGCCGCTGAAGCCGCTACTCGGGGGCCCCCAAAGGCGAGGGGTCCTCCGATTTCTGTCTTTCTGCTCATTGTTTAGACAAGACAGAAGAAGAAGAAACGAATACTAATTCAGGTGTATTACAGGGAGATATTACGAGTATATCGAGGGGTATAACACCGCCTCCTCTCCCTACAGGAAGAAAATCAAAAATCCGCGTTGTTTGCGCTGGTCTGTTTCAGCGTTTGTTTTTGTTTTTCTCGCTTTTTGTCTTCTCTTTCTCTCTATATCTCTCTTTCCTTCTACGTCGTATTGTCCTGCTGTTTAAAGGTTGTAAAGGCTCTGTTTCCTTGCGCTTTCGCTGCTTTAATCGAAGTCTTTTACTCCTCACTTCTTCCTGTTGCTGCAGCAGCAAAGGTTTTCTTTCTTCTTCTGTTCATTAAGCGCTGCAGCTGCATTGGTGCGGAGGGCAGCCTACACCAGGAAGGGGCCTCCAGAGCAAAGCAGGCGGGAAAGAGAGAAAAACAGAGGTTAAAATAATATAAATGAGTTGTAATTGAACAAAAAAGAAAGAAGAAAACAAAGACAAGGAAATGCAAGAGGTTTCTCGTGTTAAGGGTTAGGGTATACAGTTTTTCGTGTGCGCAGGTGTCTAGACATCGCAACAGACGCACTGATCCGGTGCGTCTGAGACAATAAAAGCATTAATTACTATTATTACTTAATCTAAAACTTAATAAATATATCTATTCAACTCATTCATCATAAAAATAA